AGCTTGAGTAGGTCAAAACACGGGCTGCTCTGTTTTGTAGCTTTTGAACCTTATTCCGTAAGGTTATCCAACAGTTTCCCCAAACAATGTTGCAATAATCAAAGTGTGGCTGTATTAAAGCTTGATATATTAGTTGTAAGGTCACCTGAGGGACAAGGTGCCTCATTCGTTTTATGGCCCCAATACCAGAAGCGACTTTCTTTGTTACTTTCTCGATATGGCCACTCCAATCAAGTCTGTCATCGATGGTCACTCCAAGTGATTTTGCAGTAGTGACCTGGCTAACTTCAAAATCATTAATTGCAAATGTCGGGGACTCTGTGAGAGCACTTAGCCTCTGCCTTGATCCGATAAGCATAAATTCGGCTTTAGTCATATTTAGAGTAAGTTTGTTTGCTCTCAGCCAATTGTGAACATTTCCTAAATCTTGATTTAGATGCAACTGAATATTGTCTGCATTATCACCTGCGTACGTAAGGTGGGTGTCATCAGCGTACATCCTCGGCTCACAATTTGAAAGACAGTTTAGAAGACCGTTGATGTATAACAGAAATAATAATGGACCTAAAATCGTCCCCTGGGGAACACCACAACTTAATAAACAGCTTTGAGAGAGCGATCCGTTGATGGAGCACATTTGAGTACGATTCACGACTTAAACCATTGGTGCGCGTTACCATATATGCCGTAATTGCTTAATTTTGATAAAAGGATCTCATGGTCAACTGTGTCGAAGGCCTTTTTGAGATCTAAGAAAACAACGGCGTTGATTTTACCGCGGTCAATATTGTACGCCCAAGTGTCCGTGGCCTCAAGGAGAGCCGTGACAGTTGAGTGAATAGCGCGAAAGCCTGATTGATATTTACAGATTATATTGTGCTCTTCTAGGTAGGCATATAATTGATCATAGACGATTCTTTCAAAGACCTTGGCCATAACTGAGATCACCGAAATTGGACGATAATTGTTTAAGTCGTCCCGATCGCTAAAAAAAAATTCCAAAATCAGCTATACGGCCAGCCGATTCTGACTTTTGCAGTGCTAGCTGTGGCGAGTGTTTGAAAGAACATTAACAAAGTTACGCTCCAACATAATAAAGAATTTATTATGTTTATTTTTTATTTTAAAATGGTTTAACGCGCGGCATTTTGAGTACTGCGGGAAGCGTTGTTCACTGAACGACTGAAAACAATCGGCACAGCGATTAAAATTACAAGAGAGACAACTAACAATCAATAAAAGAAATGTAATTCGGTGAAACATATACAGAGACGACAATTTTCATTTAGGAAGACAAGAATTTTATTATGTTTTAAGCCGGCCTCCCGGTGTTTGTTTTTTTTCAAAGAGGCAAGAAAATCGCTAAAAGCTTTCTTTTACAGCCAGAATTATAACTAAATATTCTTTGGAACGTTTTTTTTTTTTTATTTATTTTTATTTATTTTATTTTTTATTAACAGAGATCTTTATTACCACTACATCACTTACAACACTTTCACTACAAAATTTAAGGTTACAAAAAATTACAATTAAGAATTAAGATTCCAACGATTAATACAACATACACTGCAACCAGGCTTGCTTCACGCATACGTAGATTAGATTATAATCATTTACAGTAAGGAGAGGAGAGGCTTCCATTGTGAAAGAAATTTTGCTTTTTGTCCTTTGGAATAAAAATCGATCTTTGCACAATTAACGTAATAAAAGTTAACTTATTCATATTAACGAATAAATATCGATATCTTAATAGTTTCACAATACAGAAGCCTTCTTAAGCTAAAGCCTGGAGAAAACATTGCATCACTTACAACATAAAAACGAAAATTACCTTTTATGAAACAAATTAAAGGCATTGCCTGTGAAGTTCTTTTAACTCCAACAATGGGTAGAGTGTGAGATTAAAGTTGTTGTTGGTCAGTATCACTCCGACGGCGTTGCTAGGTTAACTCTTTGCCTCTTCCATTTCATGGCGTAGTTTTGCTAGTTCTTCTGTTCCTACGACGGCCATTGGCATCGACATATTTGAGTATTGCAGGATATGCGATGTAGACTTTCCGGTCGTCTCCGAGTTTCTTCTTTAGAAACGTCTAGCTTCTTTAGCTTTTCGTGTATGCTTTCCAAGATGGCGGCGCCGGCCTCATGTTTATGTGGTGGCGTTCTTTCATCTTCACTGCTTAAGCATGCCTCTTGTCTTGCTCGCTTTTCGTTGGGCATAACGGAAAGGAAAAGCAAAGATTCTCTAAATAGTTTGAGGCTGATTTGGCTAATTTCCTGAAACTGATATAGTGAAACGGCAAGGCAGCGTCGGAGCGACAAAAAAACACGACTACTCCATTTGGCGCCCAGTCCCAGTCCCTCTTTGGAACGTTTTCTTTCTATTTGCGGTGAGAAAATGTCTAAAGGTTTTTTTAAAGATCTTTAAGCTTAATATAATAAACCTGATACTCGGTCAGATCATTGTCTCAAATCTTACAAACGTGCGTAAACAAAACAGCCGCATAAAGTACGCTCGACTTCATTAAATTAGAAATAAAAAAGAAACATCAAATACAACAATTACTCAGGCTTAACACTCGAGATGCAACTCCTGAAAGGTATCAAGTAAGGCCAGTATCGCTTCAGACTTTGCAACTCTCTTACGCCTTAAGCAAGGTGAAAACGAAAACGATGCCGTATTTCTCAACCAAAAACCCAATAAACAAATTAGCCATGAATAACAGAAGACTCCTGATAGCAGCTGAATTTCATTTTGTACACCCAGTGGAAAAAGACGGTTAAAAACATCACAAGTTGACACAAGACTCTGTCAGCTTCAGCTGTCAAAGTAAACAAGATTCAAGATGCTGCATAAATTTTCCGCATGAACTCACCTGTCAAATTTTGACCAATTTAGCATAAAAATCGGACGTACAGCGTGACCACTCTGAACGCGTGAACATGGTGAGAAAAGTCAAAAGCAACTGTCTTCCCTCCCTGTAGCAGCTGGCTGAATTTTCGCGTCCGAGGTCAGTTTGAAATAAAAATTTTCATTGTGCGGCACATAAACACAACATATTTCAAATGAATTAAAAAAAATTAAACTTGAGCCTGCGATCATTTGAAAACCAGTATCTTGTCAGCGGATAACTTCAAAAAAATACTTGACCTCGATGGTTCGACACCTGAACCTGCGATACGGTCAAGTGATACTGGTCAGCGGATACCTTGTTTTGACAGTTGTCAATTGATCACAACATGGTCCAAGTCCAATATGTGTATCACTTTTCCTGTGCTCCGATCCCAAACTAGCTAGAAAGTATGAGATTAAACATTGATCGCGATCTAGAAAAACAATTAACTGGTCAGCGGACAGCTTCCAAGTAGATCACGTCACCTCAATGAGTTGACACATGAGCCCGCGATATGGTCATGGGATACTGCTCAGTGGCTATCCTGTTTTGACAGCTGTCAATTGACCATACTGTGAATGTCCAATGTAAAAGATGTGGACTTGCAAAGACACGCCTGAGACACCCCTCCCTTCCTTTTGATAGTCTCCCCTACCCCACCCGTACAATCCGTTGACGCGTACGTACGTACGCTCGGTCAATCACGCGACAACCACACGAAAAGAGGTTTACCATTTACTATGAGTATGGGGCTCTGTCCGCCTACTCTTCCAAACAAAACTAAAAGAAGAGCAATGATAATGATGCTTATCACAAAGGTTACGAAACCACTGTAACTGCGTTTTGCTTCTCCTTGTTGACAATCTATTACTTGCCGAATCGCTTCGTCTTGACGCAACGCAAACGACCGTACCTTTTCCTCGATCTTCCTCTTTCGAATCACTCTTGCTGCAATAACCTCCGGTGATCGAAATCTCTTCACTCTCAAACTTTATACACATTTCTGTTCCCAAAATTTTTTCCATGAAGGCATGTAACTTCTGTAATCTTGACTAACGTAAAAGTGTTTTCGAGATATCCGGCCTTACTTCGGGAAGCAAACTGCAAGTTTACGACCTTCTTCAGCGTCGCAAATCCTTTAATACTTTGCGCTCCGCCTTAAATATGCATTGTAGCCGAAAGAACTAGAAGTGATCTTGCGATATCTCCAACTCATTCCGGTATCACTACGTCAAAACCCAAAACAAGCCGACAATTAACAAACCTGCTGAATCTTTCCCGTACCTCGCGCATAACTTATGGCTATTTTTCACACCTAAAACTACCTTGCTTCGCGGTGGTGCAATCGGCTAATACCTCAGTTTAGAGTCTCATATGGTTCACAGTTGCGTAAGCCATGAATCAATTTGTTTTTCATGGGAATTGCACACTGACTGTTCAGGGTGTTGTTAATTTTTTTTCGCGCAATCCGACTATAAACCATTCTTCTTTCTTTCTTCTAGAAAAGTATCCAGTAAGTGCTGGAAAACAAGATTGTGTGTGGTAAATTCGTCACGGATTGTGACCAGTGTATGACCGTGACTACCACTCTGGACCCTGGTCACTCTACTCGGTTATGTTTTCCTATTATTTTTTCGGTGTTCATGGTGAAAAATAGTTGTCTGACTTCACCTCATATCACAGTTTTATTTTTTTTTTTCGTGAAATGGCCATTTTAGTTTCCTTCATCAACCTCGTATGGATAATGTCAGGAGTGGTTCAGTGTTGAGAATCGTGAGAAACCGCGAAAAACTGAACCTTGAAATGTATAAAGGCCGGCGATTGGAGCCTTGATAAAATGTATATGCACACCCTCTGGCCGGTTTGAACTGAACTCTCACAATGCATATAAATTCAGGTTTTTTGTCTTTTTCAGTGATAGATACCATAGAAAAAGAACATCTGACCAGTAATGGTAAGCTTGCAGAGCCAACCGACCTATTGGAAAGTCAGAACAAAAATCCTTAAAAATGGCTTTATTTTAACAAGCTTAACTTGTGTTACTTCAAAATACAGCAAGGATATATGAGACGGCAAACCAAAAGAAGTTCCATTTGTTGGTTAAATTCTTTAAATAATGTCATCATATGTTATGAGATAGGCAGGATAACACTGTTCGTCATTAAAAATGACAAAAATCGATGGACTTGATTCATTATCAACGCATGAATCATATAGATCACTAGCGGGATTGCGAGGGTCTTTTAAAGGAGGTCGATGGAGTGATTCATCTCCTTGCTTAAACTCTCCGGTTAACACTCGAGCAAGGAACATAAATCTTGTCTGTCCACTGCAGTAGTTGTTACTATATGAGGCTTTGACAGCAAAGTAGCTTCCTTTACCGTATTTTGTGCCGTTTTTGCCGTGACACCTGTGGTCAAAATTGTGCTTGCAGATGGCGTCAATGACATTTGAACTGGTGCCGTGGAAAAGAAGCCTCTCCACATTATCGTTGTCGGAGACTTTAAGTATATTCTTGATTTGGTCTCTCTTCCTGAAAATACATCCACCGTATACAACTTATAAATGGAATGAACTCATTACAGTTAAATTGATTTAATGAAATTGCGGAATAAACGGTGGATTTTTGGAGACTAAGACTAAGGGCTCTACATATACATTATTTTACATATTGATTCAGAAATGTTTCAAGATTTATTGCATTTTTGATATTCGGATTCGCACACATTAGTTAATCCAGGAAGGGGTCCTTCGGATGAAGTATGCCGACATTAAGATTCCGGATTCAAAGTGCCTCAGGAAACGCGTTCAAACGGTTTTTATTTCGTATTCTTGCATGTCATGCATCAGCGTCTAGCAGCAAAACGAATCCAGACGGCAAAAGACAGTACAGTACCGGATTTGAAAAATCTTCTTTAGTGGATTCCTTGTCTGGTACTCAAGGGAGACTTTCAAGGCCGAAAAACTGAAGAATAAACGTTTTGGCTAAGGAAAAACTGAAATAAACTGGTAAGAAAGTGCCTTTTTTAATATAGCTTTCAAGGACCACACGATGGAAGTGGATTGCAAGTTGTTTATTTTATAAGTAGGTTGAGTATGATTGAGTATGATCGTCAGATATGTCACAGAGTCAAACTCTTCGACATGTATTACGTATTCTACAGACTACTATCAACGACTCAATTTAGAAAGCTGGTTTGCTAACTTAGAACAAACACCACTGAATCGTAATAAACAGCTCCCAGCACCGTACAAACGACTTATTAACGGAATCAAGCAAAACTAACTTTGAGAAGAACGACTGGACAACTAACGATTTGACTTACAATAAACGACTGTTTTTAAAACTGTGACAAGAGACGGATCTAAACGCACCAATGGCATTACGAGTCTTCATGGAGAATAACATCACTGCTTAACTGACAGACGACTAATAACATCGCGACTCAATTTACCAATCAGGTCAAAAAACCAAAGTTTAATGCCGTCAACTGACGTGATACAACTCACTTTGGCTCTGAAGGTGACTACCGCACAGGTTGTAGAAACGTCAGTCGCTGTCAACAACAACAGTCCTATTCAGGACCACGTTCACCTGGACGATCATACTCAACCTTAACTTATGAAATGATTCCTGGGTTCAAACCTCTCACAACTTGTTTATTTGTTATAAAAAGAATTGGGCCACCATTTTCAAGCTCAACTTTTGTGTCATCGAAAAATTAAGAAAAATGGTCATGCTTTGTTTTCTCTTTCGGAAAATCTCTTTTTATTTTTATTTTTCAGAGTTTGTAATGCTAAAAAAATGATTAGTGAGAGTTGCTGGCTCTTATTTCAGCTCACTCTTGACCAAATTAATGATTGTGAATTGACCTTGACAACAGTCCGTACGGTAAAAGACCCAACCCGTACAATTAAAGCTACAATTGTACCTGAAAACGGACGCAACAACTCCCAACAATGTTGCGTCCCTTTACACGGGGTTAAAAGTTTGACCGGGGGTTTCAAACTTTGCGCAACAACTCCCAACAACACGCAACAACATGCAACAGGGTGTGCAAACGGACGCAATAAGTAACATTTTTGATCCAACAATATTTGGAGTGGTTGGCCAACAATGTTGCATCCGTTTGCACGTTCCTTGAGAATACAGAATTTAAGTCTTGTTCATACATTTACTATACCTTTTGTATCTCTCATTTAAGAAAGCATTTTTTATTTTCTCGATCACAGTTATCTTTGCCTTGCGTTTTAGGATTGTTTTATGAAACAGCGTTTCCACCTTTTTGAATTCTTCACTATCTGCTGACAGAAGGATTCGTTTGAAGGTATTGTCATAACCCATGAGACGTCTGCTAATGGGTTGAACGATGTTATAGACGCTGGGAAATGAGTTAAATAGGCTGAAAAAACTGCAAAATGGAAGAAAAAAACCGCAAGGTTATTACTTTGTTTGCCTTAATTGTATCAAGCATCAGTCTTTTATAGGGTGGTCAGTTTTGGACATCGAAAAACGCGAACTGGGAGTTAACTACACTGGTGCCATAAAAACTATGTGTATTCAGTCAACCGTTTCTTTTGAAAACGAGATGTCCGTCTTTTAGAGGCAATTAAAAGGAGTAAAGAAAGGCAGGGACCAACTCTACGTGTCCTTTTTGGCGACATGTCCGTCTCATAGATAGTCACCTTAAACGACTAAACAAAGGCAGGGACCAGTTCTAGGTGCCCGTTTCATCGAGATGTGCGCCTTTATACGAGAGTCAACTAACGGAGTAAAGAAAGGCAGGCAGTCTAGATGTCATAGCGAGATATCCGTTGAGAAAGAAGTTGACTGTATCTGTCACTCTTCCAACAATCAATATGTTGTGGACTATTTAATTTGGTGAAAATGTGGAGGTAAAATTGGGAAATTAAACGAGACTTACCTGTAAGTTGAAGTTTGATTGAGATTCTATCACATGACAACAGAAGGCGAGAGATCACATACCCTCCGCTATCATACCCACCCTGTTTGGCTGTACTTTCGGGTATTCCATTTGATACTAGGTTGACGCGCCCAGTACGTGTCTTTTAAGAATGACTTGCGCAAGCGCTGTGCTATCTCATGTGATCTCTCGCCTTCTGTTGTCATGTGATAGAATCTCAATCAAACTTCAACTTACAGGTAAGTCTCGTTTAATTTCCCAATTCTATCACATGACCAGAAGGCGGAGATCCCATGAGACTTCAAAGGGTTGATGCGCCCATGCGATAGGCCCAACGAGAGGTACAGATAACCCAAGGCCATATGCAAAGTAGCCTCTGGCAGAAGCAACCCCAATGATAAACACAATATAATACAACAGTGTGTGTGTGTGTGTGTTTTTTTTTTTCCCATATATAAACTTGCTAGTTTGCTAATCCCGACCAGGTCCAAAAATAGACATGACGAAATGCCTAGTGTGGGCTAGCGCCCAGAACAGCAGAGGCCAAACTGTTTTCTTGAACAACAGGCTTATTGTAATATTTATGAAAAGTCTCTGCGGATTTCCAGCCAGCCCTGGCCATGATCTCGTGAACAGGGACATCTTTGGCACTGGCTTTTGAAACAGAGGCCGACCTAGTGCTATGGGCGGAGAACACTTTGGTATCCACCCCACAAAGGTGGAGGGTTTCCTTAGTCCAACTGGAAATTGTGTCCCTGGAGACAGGTTTATGTGGCCTAACATAACTAACAAATAATTTCGTTTCATCTTTACGCAAAACTTTTGTGCTGTTAATATACGCCTTAAGGCAAGTGAAAGGACAAATGGAAACATCCGGCTCATATCTAGCTATTTCGATTCTTGTATTAGGGTTCCTTGGACTACTGGTCTTCATGTGTTCATCAATGTCAAATATGTATTTGTCCTCTTCCACACAAAGGTGCTTAAGGTCTAAAGAGTGTACAGTTTGTCCTCGTTGACTCGAGACTAGTAAGATTAACATGAGAACTTTATACGTCAAATCTTTCAATGCCAATTTGTCATACGGGTATAACGTAGACAAATGTTTCAAACTACTCCGACATCCCAAATGTTTGTGTACTTAGGTTTTGGTCGCCGTGATTCAAAGACTCCTTTCATAAATCGAGTTACAACGCAATTAGTACCGAAAGACTCCCCACCTTCCGTTATAATAATTGCAGAAAGAGCAGAGCGGGCAGTGTTTAGCGCGGAATAACTCAGTCCTTGATTAAATAGTCGTACAAGAAATTGGAGGGCTTCATTTAGTGGTGGTGAATAGTAAGCAACCTTCCTCTCACCGCAAAACGCCATCCATTTGTTAAGATAGGTTTGGTACTCTTTCTGCGTGCCTGACCTCCAAGAGGCCATGAGCACATCGGTAACTTCTTCTGAAAAGTTGTAGCGGCTGAAGGCTCCCCTGACACAGGACATACCATTAGGTTTATTTTATTATAAATATGGTTCTTTTTCACTTCAACTTTTCGTAAGAAATCTTAAGCCGTCTACACACCACCTGCCTCGATTAGCCTTGCTATTTGCAGGTGGTGTGATATTTGTATATTTAATGTAAGAAATAAAGATGTTGTTGTTGTTGTTGTTGTTGTTGTTGGTGGAGTTTCTTGTGCAGTGGGTGGGGTCGACTGTGTGAGGGGTGTTTCAGAAGGTCCGGGCGTGGAAGCAGAATCCAAGGTTGATCGCACAGGTATTGTAGCAGGAGAGGGAACCACGGCTGTGTTGACCAAAGAGGAGCAATGAGTATTCCGTGCGCTCTGTCCTGTCTGATTTTCTGTAAACATTTGGGGAGGAGGCTGAAAGGTGGAAATGCATAAAATTCTTAACCACTCCAGTTCATAGTAAAAGCATCGATGTGGGCACTGTGTGGATCTCCGCGCCACGAGCAATAAGTGCTGATCTGAAAATTTAATCTGCTGGCAAAAAGATCACAATCCAGCCCAGGGTGGTGTGATAGGATGTCGTCAAACAACTGTTTGTTTAACATCCACTTATGGTTGTCCGAAAACACGCGAGATTTTTCATCAGCACCGGTATTCAGCCGACCAGCAATATGAACAGCGGAGAGCCAAATGTGCCTAGTTATACACCATTCCCAAATTTGAAAAGCCAATTGATCAAGTTCTTTTGATTTAGAGTCCCCCATTTTGGTAATGTACGCAATGGCCGTGGTATTGTCGATCTGAAGCTGTATGTGGCAGTTCCCCATTTTGCTGCAATAACATTTTAGGGCAAAGAAAGCGGCAAGCAATTCCAATACGTTGATGTGAGATTCGGTTTCCGAAGGGGTCCACCTTCCCCCTGTTTTCTGTGCCCCAAAAACCGCTCCCCACCCCAATTTGGACGCATCCGATTGAATTGTCACGCTGGGGCGGGGATGTTGAATATCTCTGTGTAAGGTAATAGCATTATTTAGCCACCAGCGGATTTCTTGTAGCGCCATGGGAGATAGCCGTAATTTCCCTTCATAATTTCCTTTGTTAAACACGAGGGCCAGATATTTGTCACGTTCCACGTTTCTGTAATGAAGTGGCCCGTATTGAGCTCCGGGGAAATTGGACACCAAAATGCCGATAACCTCTGCGACTTGTTTTATAGTGGGCATGGGGGTCTTCAGGAGCGTGTCGCAACTAGATTTGATTTTCTGGATTTTTGCTTCGGTAGGCGTAACTGTCATCCTAATCGAATCCAGAACAAACCCTAAGAATGTCAACCGCTGGGTAGGAACGAAAACCGACTTTTCTGGATGGATGAAAAACCCTAGGCTGGTAAATAACGTGACAGTGTCTCCAACGTTTTGTTGACAGTCCGCAACAGTATCCCCTCGGAAATAAGAATCATCAATGTAGCCTGAATTTAAGTGACCCATGCTGTGAAGTGTAGCATAGACAGGTTTGAGTAATTTTGTGAAAATACGAGGCGCACTGGCGAGGCCGTTAGGTAGGCAAGTGTATTGATAGAAAGCGCCGTCGAAACAAAACTTGAGATATTTCTGGTGAGAGGGGTGAATGGGAACGGTGTAATAAGCATCCTTGAGATCAACTGATGCCATAAAGCAGCCTGGTTTCATCATACTGATGGCCGCCTCTAGGGTATCCATCTTAAAATGATGATAAGCTACGAATTCGTTAAACTCTTTAAGATTGAGAATGGTGGCCATCCTTTTTCGGTCTAAGGAATATGGTAGAGATAAACTCCCCCGTTTCCTGTGCCGCGGGTATAATAACACCTTTAGTGAGCAGTTTATCGATTTCCGCTTTAACAATAGCATGCTGTTTAGTGTTAAAAACACTGGGTCTCTTATGTTGTTGCGTGGGCAGAGAATTGTTTTGAAATTCTATTTTGACCCCGGAAACAAATTGAAGTATAGTGGGGTCGGTTTTCCGTTGAGGTAAGAAATTTCGAAGCTGTCCTGCTTGAAATTTAGTTTGTAATTTGAGTGTACTTAGTATACTAGGCTCGAGGCCTTTAGGGAGAGTCATGTTTTCATCACATACCTCTGGCATTTTCATTGCCGCTGACTCGTCTCTCCGTCCTTTTTCTTTCTTTGTTTGGAGAAGCGGCTGTTGCCTAAAAAATTATAGGCCTTCCCTTTTGCGTAGGGGTGAAATCTTCTGTTTCCCTGGCTCGAACCATAACTTGAGCGTCCCCCGTACTTGTCACCGCGGGAATTCGTGGAATGCGACGGGCGAACCTTCTTAGTTAACTTGTTGGCTTCGGAAATGTCCTTAGCAAGTTTGGAGAGGTCGCCAAACAACAGCTCCGAAGAGCCTTCAACAGTGGACGAGTTGCAGAGTGCTGCATAATCTTTATGCAATTCCTTCTTCATTGCCACCCGCCGCGAGTGGTTAACCTCGTGGTTGAATTGAAGGGCCATTGCAATAGCGTCTGTCAAGAGGGTAATCAGATCTCTATCCTGGCTGTACTTTGCAAGAACCAAATCGGTAGCCTTGGTCATGGCTATTACGGAGCCGATGAAAGCATTTTGCCCTTTCTGAGATCTAGCATCTTGTGCTTTCATTGTGGCGGACAGCTGGCTCCAAATTAGGGGGTTAACTTTCGGCGTTCTCAAGCCGTTGATGTTTTCGGGCCGTGTATATTTGTCTAGCTTCGCCTTGATCTTGTCATCGGGCATCTTTTCTGACAAAAGCCCGTTAAAAATGCCCGCCAGACCTTCATGAATTGGCGGGGAGGTTTGCTCCCTGACCGAGAGATCTTGAGCAAGCTCTTGTAAAAAAGCGTCGCCTGTCGTAGGCGCTGCTTTGTCCGTGGTCTTAGAGTCCAGGATGGCAGATAGACTTGCTTCCATATCTACTCCTTCATGACCAGAGTCTTCGACTGCTTCGACAGAGGCGGTTTCACCGTCCACCTCCGACTCTGGATCGCGACCGCTCAACAGCAGACTGACGTTTTCGTTAAGTTTGGTCATCTGACCCACGAAAGGAGCCATAGCAGCCGTAAACAGGTTCGCAAGCTCCGTATTCGCGGAGGCCTTCTCCGACGATTGACCCTGTTCGGCAGTGATATTCACCCAACGTCGTCCGGGGTTTGTGTCATATTTTGAGCCGTGGTCGCTTAATTACTGGCCCCTAACTACGTTAGCGCCTGAGCTGGGTGTAATTGAGACCAACTACGTTAGCCTCTCCAGCTATACGTGTAAGAAAACCAAAGAAATTCTGGTGTTATCCCAAGAACGAACTTTACGCGTTGAGCGCGAATCGTGCAATGACTTGCGCAAGCGCTGTGCTATCTCATGGGATCTCCGCCTTCTGGTCATGTGATAGAATAAAAAAATCATCAATTTTCAATGACCCATTTGCAGCCGTACCGTCAGCTAGCCTCCCACGCAGACGTTCTTAAGGGTTCGTGGGATGAGAGAAACAGACAGCTCAGGCATCATTGTAAATCAAAATTCTCAATTTAAATGATATACCATGTAATAGGAAATTCACGATGCACGTTGACAATGTGAAGAAAATTTACGTTACACAAAATTAACGCGAATTTTCCAAACGTTTGGTTTATACATCACTGCATTAACGCGAAATTTTCGAAAACGATGTACGCCTAACTTAATTGATTAATTATTTTACGCGAAACATACATATCTAAAGGAAAAAACAGCAGCATTTCCAGTCATTGTTATCTCATTGTTAACATGTTACTTCTCCGTAATTGGATCTAGAGAGGAAACGCTCCCTTGGATCCTGACATTCTTGTGCCTCGGAGGGAAGACTTCAAATAGTGACTCTGAGGCTTTGATAGAGGAACTATTAGCAGACGAGGTTTCGTTATTGAAAAGGTGCTGTAAAACAACAATGATGTAGAACAGTGTGATTTAAATTAACATCGACGTAAATTAAGATGCATTAAATTAACGAGATTTAAACAAAAATTGCGTCAATAAAGTGCATCGTTAATTTCCTGCACTGAATAATGTAATCTCCTGGTTTGTGCTATTCCAATGCATTCTTTGCTCTCCAGCTATTGTACCACGTGACCTAGCCATACACTGCAGTTTAATTAGTGCCCATGCCAATTCCGCAGCACATACTAGCAGAGCTTAACTAACGAAGTTACCCATCCCCTTCCGGCCCATGGATTTAAAAATGGAAATAAATTAGGGGTAATCGGAGCTTAGGAGAGTGCGTTCGATATGTTTGTTAGGCGTAAAGGCAGGGAACAGTTGAAGGGGAAGATTGGATGGTTCTTGCTCAGTAGATAAATATGATTATGGCATATTTTGAACGTAAGGGTTGCGTACAACGAAACCTCTATTTAAGCTGTGTATCATTATGAGAAGATTTTGAAAACATATCGTATGGTTCGGTGTCAAGTGCTTGTAATCGGAGGGAACAGTGGCCAGAGTGCGTCGGGCACGTAAATAGAACATTTTAACCTCTTTTTTACTGGCCGCGATTACAGGGCGCAGTTGTTCAAAGGCCGATCAGCCTTCATCCGGGATTCTTTTTCTTTCTTCAAAAACATTTCTTCGGATAACTTTCTCTGTTTTTTATTAAGAGTATCCAATCATCAACTTGTTGACAAAAAACTTAAATTTACTTTTTTAAAAGCTTTCACATCTGAATTCAAATTTCGCACTAACCCTGACAAAGCCTTTAGTGGAATGTGTGTGCGGCTCACGTCAATAACTTTTCCAGTAATTTGGTCGGGCGTGTTGATTTCAGTGACTCGAGAGTGGCGCTATACTGTGGGCTGGTTTATAAGTTTTTCCTCACATTAAAAACATACAGTTAAAGTGTTCGTTTGTCTGGTGCCGAAAATATCACAAGTCATGATCAAATGGCGCCGTCGAACTTCACATCTCGGTAGATTGACCTTGTGGCACAACGGTTGCCGAGGTACACAACTCGGTTAAGATTTACTTTCTGACACAAAGGTCGCCGAGCTACACAACTCGCAGAACTCGGTAAACTTACTCTGTGGCCTGACAACGGCTGCCGAGCTACACAACTCAGTAGATTTACTTTGTGACACAAAGGTAGCCGAACTAAACCCAGTTTGATGCATGCACCAGAAATCGCACACATTTTCCAAAGACAGTGACGAATCATGCTGAAAAACACGAAGGCTTAATCTATAGTAAAATTTAACAGCAAACTTCTGAAAGATGAACGCTTTGGAAGATTCAGCAAACACAGATCGATGTACGCTTTACGAAGATTCAGCAAACTTTTTAAAAGATGTACGCTTCACGAAGACAGAATATCAGGCTCAGCAAACCTTTGAAAGATGAACGCCGAGGACACATGAAACACCAGGTGAGTTAGCGCGTCAAAGTGAGACAAAACGTAAGCAAGCACTTCAAAGTGAGGCAAATGTGTGTCGACGACGACGAAAATGCAATCTCAAAATAACCTCCCTTATTAATTGCACAGGACACCCAATAAAGCACAGAACACGCAACACAAATTAGGGGTTGGGTTCTCGTACCTCGAACGCAAAAACCTACGGAACCTGACCTTGTACGGGAATGAAGCTCTGACTCAGCAACAAACTGTGGTCTTCTTCTGACGCTTCTCTCGGTCCAGTACCTGGGATCCATATTCCTTTGACGCATCGACTTCTCATAGAATGTTATCATGTATTTGCGTTCGTTTATGTGGAAGAAGTAAAGTCGCTCTTCGTTAAGATAGTCAGCCTCTATGTTTTCTTGTGCCATCTCACGTGAGATCTAAAAGCACAGCACAAAATTTGTGTTGTAATATTAAAAATAATTTTGCGTCCAGACCTAAGTGTAATTCTTGACACGAAAGGCAGACAGAAAGAAAATCTCGCGTCAGCGGTTTTCTCTCCTTTATCCTACGTTCAAGAATATTTTTAAAAAATTTAAATTAGGCATGGGTCGCACTTGGGAAAAGTTTTCATCTTTGCCGGCTAAAAAACCACAAAAATTCGAAACCGCAACCGGAAAAGAAAACTTTTAGTCCAACCGAGGAGGGTCGCATTAGTGGGAGTTAATAGTTTTTGCTTTGACACATTGAGAACTTAAGAACGCCAGATACCAGAAAACATTCTTCTCTTCTTCGTCCGAACCTTTGTCGAAGGATCTTTTTCCTCCATTCCCAGTTTCAGGAGGATGTGACAGATAAAGAACGGGACGGGAACTCAACTGGTTCGCCTTCAATAGAGCTAGTTCCCGTAAAAACCTTAAAATAGCGAAGGTTTAAAAGCGAGTGAAGTCCTTGCCTGTAGAGAGTTTTCGAAAAAAACTTGAAATGGCGAAGGACAGCCGAGTAGACGCCTCTTCGCGAAGGTCTGAAAATTCGACCGCGTTTATTTTAAATTGATCGTGTTTCAAATGGATCACGTTCATGACAAGGGGCTAACAGTTACCGCTGTGATTCCTATTGTTTAGCTCGAGTTTTCCAAAATCTGCCTGCCCCACCCAAGCACTAAGGCGTCTTTGATATTTTTGCCGATTTTCAAAGTTTTTTCCAACTTGAAAACTCGGGGTCGCACTTAGCAATGTCCACCGATAACAGATTTCTACCGCAAGGTAAACAAATTCTCCCAAAAATTTGCCAAGTGCGACCCATGCCTTAGTGAATTAACGTATAAGTATCAGCACTATCCAAAGTCTTGTGTAAAACATCAAGTGGAATTAAACCGTTTAGCTGTTCTTGCTATTATAACTATTTTTTGGCCACACCGATGACGATTTCAAATAGCCACCATAATAGATCCACCTTTTCCTTGAAAAATGTCAATCAAACTTTATATCGAAAACAATGGAGAATATTACAATTGATTCGTGATAATGAACCCAAAATGTTAGGAAATAGTTGTTTTCAATTTAATGCCAGTTTAATCCTAGAGCTTAAAAGATAGCAAACATGGTTTTTAAGGGACTGGTCAAAAAGTATAGGAACCCACCCCTAAAGCAAGGTTGGAAATTGCATGACCCACCCCCTAGTTAAAACATGGACGTTCGGTTTCCTATTAATAATCCAATAAAACCTTGTTCTGTACTTGACAAAATTTGTTGATACACTGCTACAACCAACATCAAAATCACAGAAATTATACCTTTCACTGAAAAGACGAATGTCAAAAACCCAACATTTCTTGTTTCAATGGACGTTATGAGTCCTGACACAAATATACAGCAAAACGAGGGTATATTGAAATTATCTGTCACAAAGCATATGAAAATTTCAGCAAAGACAACCCATTCCTACACATTACTTGACGCAAATGCTTAGATTAATCCTCAAATCAAATTTCTTCCACTTCAGTGGAAAGCACTACTTACAAGACCATGGAACTGCAATGGGCACAAAGACAGCAGTTTTGATTCCTTTGCCAATATTTTCATGACATATATTGAAACAACAATTCTAAGCAAAACTGTCTTTAGAATCGAACAACAGTTTGGAAATGCCACATACACGATATCTTTTCCCTATGGGACATGAGTAAACCAGACATCGAAGCCTTCATTGAACAAGCAAGCTTACATCACCCAACTATTGAATTCACGGCCAAAACATTTGACACTGAGACTGCGTTTTTAGACACGGTTGTATACAAAGGCACAAGATTCAAGGAAAAATCTATCCTTGATGCAAAGACACATTTTAAACAAACGGAAAGCTTCTTGCGCACACATTTCACCTTGTGTCACGTTTTTTCTGGTTGAAATTTTCGAAAAGGTAAGTTTTGATCCCTATAATTTTCGTATCACTAGACTTTCAGCTAGGAGATCCGAACAGACGAAAAATTTTTTGGGGATAAAAGTACGCCGATATCTACTGTTTAAATACTAAGATACGTTTAACAATGTTACGTCTAAGTGGTTTTGAACCATATTCTCGTTGTGTGACCCCTATCTTTGATAGAAAACCTACTATCAGAAATAAAAGACAAAAGGAAGTCTAATCTCCTAAAACAAAACAACAAGGAGGAAAAAGAAATATTGTCATTCGTGACGCAATACCAGCCCTCAGTGTCTACTATAAAGAAAGCTTGAATGAAAAATGGAATCTTATACAAAACTAACTATAACTTCAATAAATTTTTAAAGAACCACCAATCATTTTCTTAAAAAAAAAGGAAAATTGTTAAAGAACATGCTCGTTAGAGCCGAAAAAAAAGGTTATCAGAGGGTTCCACGCCCGTATAGATGTGCGGCCTGTCAACCTTTGTATTTTCTCGCACAGCAGGTTTGTGGGTATTTTAGCAATAATTCCAGCTGGCTGTGTTTTATAGAACAAGTGTAGTCAACTGTCTCGTTAGTAGTTAGTAAAAAATAGGGTGACCCACCCCCTAAGAGTAGCTGAAAATTTCTCGACCCACCCCTTGCACAAGGCTCAAAACCTCATGACCCAACCCCTCTCTGCTCCGGCCCACCCCCACCTATACTTTTTGACCAGTCCCTAAAGCAGAAAGGGTGCTGCCTCCTCATGACAAGGAGAAATAAACTGGGAAGAAAAATGTTAAGATCAGTTCTGGCAAGTCACGTGACCCACCTGACTAGTTAAGTGGGTAACGTTCACGTTACTCTCCCCTTGCACCCCCAGACCTGAAAACTAAGAGGGCTGATAAGAAGTGGAATAAGGTTGCTACTTCACACTTCATTAAATAGCAACCATGTCATTTAAGCTGCCAGTTTCCTACCGACAATAGATATTGAAAAACTTTCGAAAGAACTTACTTTTCCATCGTATTCTTCCCATCCATTATCGTCTTTCCAGTACCAAATCCACTTCGTGGCCAATCTTTTACCAGGCGCTTGGATGTAAGACGGCGTGGACAGCCGGCGGAGTGAAACCGTGGCAAATTCGCACTGCATAGTCATGTTTTCAAAGTTTATTGTAGCATTAACGTTTCCCTGGCTTTGATTTAAAAGAAAGTGCAAACTAAGTTTCTTGTGAAATTAAGTCAATTGAAAACGGTTCAAAAAAATCGACATTTACGGTTATTATAAGCTCAAAGGACGAGATAGGCCAAGCAAAACATCCAACAAACGCGCTTGCCCTCATATGTGCTAACGGTTTACTATGACCGTATTCCTCAACAGACAACATCTTACCCCGGCGTGAAAAGAACAAGTTGCACCTCCAGTTTTTCCACGTCACAATAACGCATTTCAATGCCAACATTAGTTTTAGGACTTAGGTTTGTCCAGGCGTCGGTGGTTGACTCTCGAAACTGCCAACAGTAAGGCAACGGACAGTGCTTGTACAAGCAGTTAGCACCCATTGTACATTTACCAAGAGGAGCGTCGGGGCAGATTATTGTTCCCGCCTTATTTCCTTAAATGAAAAAAAAAAGACATTTGGTTGATGGCCAAGTAGGTGTACGTGCCCACGGTTAAATCTCGGAAGCCTCACCAATACTGAGTTTAATTGTTAACCCTTTGGCGACCCCAGCTAGAAAGGAGAAAAAAAACTCTAAAGCAATATTTTTTCTATAACACTTTTTCCAAAGTGTCCACCTTATTAATCCCAAATGGTCTAAACCAGTTGTGGAGTTAAAAACGGTTTTGCATTAAAATCGATTGGAGCAAATAGCCTTCGCTCTCTGACGCAGGTAATAAATAAAAATTAAGGAAGAACTAAGGAAACTAAGCAGGGTGTGCCGACGAAGTCTTTGAGCCCTACTATTTTTTAATAGACTTTTTCTCATGACCCTGCTTCATTTTATTTGGCACACTGAATAAAGTCTTTGTCATCAAAGTATTAGGTTGTCTTAAAGAAATTAACGCATGGAGACCGAGCAGCACCAACGTTCACACCCTGTTCGAGGTTTCTGGACTAGAAAAACGCCCTATCCAAGACATCAAAGTGTGAAATTGAACCCTATTCAACCTGTATTCAAGACTTGTTTAGAATAAATAAGGATGTGCGCCCCTTGCCCCGGGTTTAGCGGTCTACTACCCAACCCTGAGGACACAGGCAAATCTCTAGCCTCGGCCCCAGTTGATCAAAATGTGGATAGTGCTGATTTATCGAGTGGATAGCGCAATCCAACGTCTGAACAACTGGGGCCAGGACTTTTGCTGTGGGATCCCCTTTACTCGTTTGATAGCTTCTATCAGCGCTTTTAAACTCACCGCTCATATCTGAAAATTGGGACACCGTCCATCGCCGATCACTCGATTGAGTGATCAGAAAACGATTTTTTTTAATTATCCGCCATGGGGCCTCAGTAGATTGGTTATGAAAGAGCGAATGAAAAAGGATAGTATATAGGACAGAAAAGGACTAATAAAGACATAAAAGGACAAGCAAGGACATAAAAGGACATTAAGGACAGAAAAGGACTAGTAAGGACAGAAAAGGACTAGTAAGGACATAAAAGGACAAGTAAGGACAGAAAAGGACTAATAAGGACATAAAAGGACAAGTAAGGACAGAAAAGGACTAATAAGGACATAAAAGGACTCGTAAGGACATAAAAGGACTAGTAAGGACAGAAAAGGACAAGTAAGGACAGAAAAGGACAAGTAAGGACAGAAAAGGACTAATAAGGACATAAAAGGACAAGTAAGGACATAAAAGGACAAGTAAGGACAGAAAAGGACTAATAAGGACATAAAAGGACAAGTAAGGACAGAAAAGGACTAATAAAGACATAAAAGGACAAGCAAGGACATAAAAGGACATTAAGGACAGAAAAGGACTAGTAAGGACAGAAAAGGACTAGTAAGGACATAAAAGGACAAGTAAGGACAGAAGAGGACTAATAAGGACATAAAAGGACAAGTAAGTTATATTTCGCTTTAACAATATTGATCCACAAGTTTGTAAAAAAGTCTTGGCCAGTATGTCTATGAAGCATTTCAACTTAGAGAATATTATTCCATAAAACAAAAGCATGGGAAATGGAGATTTCTAATTATAACTTTTAATTAATTTCTATCTCTTTATTGATTATATTAAATATTATTAAAACTGTAATTGTAATAGTTTAAAAGCAATACCATTTCTGTGTATGGGAATGCTAATAAAATGTTATGTTATGCCGTGGGCACAGAAAAAGTCAGCGATTCTCACGATTGAACATGCGCACCAGGGGAAAACCGGTATTACCGGTTGAAACTTCTAGGTCTGCTAAAAAGATCATGTCCCTTATTAACTGAAGTGTCAGTAAGAAGGTCCTTGTATCTAGCAATTGCGAGGCCCCACCTTTGTTAGGCTACTGAAGTCTGGTCTCCTCCCAAGAAGACACTAAAAGTTAAGGTTGAGGAAGTTCAGAGACGTAGCACCAGATGGATTTTAAGTTTGAAGCCAGGCCTGATGTCATATGGGGAGAGACTGCTCGCCCTGGATATGCTGCCTCTTGCTTACGATCGAAAAATCAAGGATCTCGTTTTCTTTTACAAAGCTGTCTACGGCTTCATTGATATAGATGTCTCTAACTACGTAACTTTTAACAATCATCCACGTACATACGCACCGTGGGCAGTCTGCTAGCTGTTGTCTTACTGTTCCGGCCTGTAAGACCCGCACTTTGCAAGCTTTCATATTTTGTCCGTACGGGGGGGACAACGTATGCAACGAAGCTCTCCCTAGTGGTGTTACCTCTCTTAGCTGTTTACAATTATTTTTGAAGAATTTACATAATTCTCTTTTAATGAATGTCTTTGATGTGGACATGGTCTGCTAATGGTCAATCTCTTGCGAACATCCATGTCACTCGCTGAATTTATACACATATATATTTTATTTTTCATTTTGAATATTAGATTTCTTTACAGTTAGACGGAAATTTTCTCCCATTAGAGTTTTCTACAATTAGATTTTTCTCTTACTACAAATGCATAATGGATTTTATTTTTCGTATATATCGTTTAAAATTCTTATATTTCCATAGGGTTGGCAACCTGCATGGGTCTAAGTGTTCCGTTCGTACCCTGCCCTTTTGGTCTTTAATTCTTTCCTGTCTTTCATGTTTGTATATTTCGTCCTGTTTTTGACCCTGCCCAATAAAGCTTGAAATAATAGGCCAGTCACAGTCACAGTACAACAAACGCTAAGGAATTCGAACATGAATAGTCCAGTTTCGAGTTCGCTATGACTGCTGAATTAAAGAACTGAAGACGCATTTTTTACAGCCTTAGCCTCCATCACAAGAAGAAGACCGTTTATTACTTTGTCTATTGTGTACATTCACATTTCAAGCACTTACTTGCCGGAATTTCTGAATATTTTACTTTACGTCGAGGCTAACCCTGTATGAATGTATCGTTAATGTCTGTATTCAGCGGTGATTTTTAATTCGAAACTAGACTATTAACTGCTTACCATTGGACAAGCTTTGGGTACCCGGTGTATCAGAAATTTTGTAAACAAACAAGTATATTATAAGAACTTTTCACTTTATTCAGTTAATGATAAGCACACATGATGTGAGTTACGTTTTGCTTGAACATTAAAAAAAACATTTTCTGGAAAAAAAAGTAACATTATTTTACGAATCGGGCATAATTTGAGCATTTTTTTTTGGGGGGGGGGGGGGCCTAAAAAGAGAATTGCTAGGAGCATTAAATGCCAGTTTTACTAGCATAAAGGCCTAGAACCCCGCTTACGGCTAACTATTTCGGTAAATAGGCAAATATTTGCGGCCCGCACAGGGCAGCTACCTATTTTTGTCTTGAAAGCGTCTGAGAACTCGATTCGTCGGGTAGTTTGTTTGGTAATTTGTTTGGTAGTTTGAAGTTTGTTTCGCCGTTTTACCAGTTCCCAGTCCCCTCCGCGTAGCACCCTATCCAGCATACAAGCAAAGTCAGGAGCCCATCGCTCCTGGCAAAGTACAATGGCGGCCAAAATTTTTTATCCGGGAATTTTGTGAGCGCTAGAAAGTGAAAATCTAGGATTCTTTCTGAACACGCCTTTGAGGTCGTATGAGGTTGGCAGTCGAAAGTCGGACGCGAGTGCGAGGAACAGTTTAACATTATCTGTATTCCTTGTAACGCTGCTGGTAAGTTACTCATTTGCTTGTCATGTCAGTTGAAAAGTTAAGTTTTTTGGGAAGGTAGCGAACGTTTAAGTGAAGATTCGAGGGGGAGACAATGTTCTTCCATTTTCGCAGCACTGTCGTTCCATGAGCCGAACCAGTTATCAGCTGTAGATCATTGTGGATCACGATCACAATCGATGAAATCTTGTTGCGAGGGGACAATTAGTTTCAAAGCGCTCTGAACAATCAACTCAGCAGAATCGTTTTCAGCAGATAACCTTCCTGTTGTAGTTTACTACTTTTTCCAAGGAGGTGAATGGACGAGACGAACAAACAGAATTACAATTGAGGTCATAATTTACCCTGGCAAAGAGGCGAATCAGAATGAAACAAGCGCTTTTCTTACCGAGGTGGGCAAACTGAATTAAGGTGTTCCTGTTCCGTTTAAAATACTTATTTCTATTGATCTCATGAAATAAAATGATGAATACGACAGAAACGAATATGTTCAATTCAGTTACAATTCACTAAGTCGAAGATACGTTCTGAAACCTTTCTTTTAAATGTCTTCATTGTGTATTTGTCAGTAACAATCCACACCGATTTTGGAGTATGCATTTTACAAACAACATTTCATTATACAGCTTTTATTTTAAAAACACACCGATAATATATTAGTGAGGTATATAAATGCTTGTTGTTATGGATTGACTGATCTTTGGGAATTCATTGCTTGCATTCTGCTCTATGTTTGTTTTTATTTGAAACTAATTCTAAGAATAAGCAGGTTCCGAATTATAGTCACACATAAGGATAAACCTGAAGACAAAAACAAGCTTTTAAAATTGTGTTACTAGTTGCATAATTTTAAGGCCTTTAGGTACCGTATTTATTCGATTAACCGCCCTGGGCGCTTATTAAATTTTTGGACCTTGAGAGTGGGCGCTTATTCGAGGTGGGCGCTTATTCGAGGCTGGGCGCTTATTAAATTTTCACCATTTTCAGCAAGTGAAGTATGCTTATTTTGCAACAAAACAATAAAAGCTAATAACAAAACGCGAAGAAGTAACGAAGCAAGGTTTCTGTAAAATACTCTCAAGAAAACTCCGTCCTCGGGAAAGTCTCTTATTAGACTTTATTCACTCAAGTGGGTGGGGTGGGGGTGAGCGCTTATTTGAGTTCGATTGAAAGGAGGAGGGGGTGGGCGCTTATTCGAGGCTGGGCGCTTATTAACTTTTTCTGCCATTAGGATGGGCGCTTATTCGAGGTGGGCGCTAATTCGAGGTTGGGCGCTTATTCGAATAAATACGGTATATATCATTTCTGTGCTTGGCAAAGTCATTCGGCGGATATTGTAAAGGAAAGGTCTGATTAAAGGAATAACTTGTAATGGGGGACTGGGTACTACTAAAAAAAACCCTCTTTTTTCAGAACTAGTCACCTATTCAAACTCATCCTCGGAGACCCAGGGGCAGATAGTGGGGGCGAGGGAAAGTCTAAAGTTAACCTGAAGTAAAAAAGAATCGGTTGTGTGTGAAGCTTTATTTTACTTGAAGTAATTTAGGCTCTGGTGTAAAGACTACCATTGTCCCCAGGGGCTCTTCTCGCCGTTCTTTTCTTTTCTTCGTGCCATATTTTTCTGCCCGTTTAGAATTTCCCTCTCCCGCACTATCTGCCCCTGGGTCTCCGAGGATAGTTCTTTATATTGTAAGTTGTCTTGTAGCTATTAAAATGAATAACTCCGAATTTAAACTGCTGCCATTTTTGCTTAAAGACTTTTGGGAATTTGTGGCCGTAAGAGATCACGTGACCTAATTTACATAATGTCGAGGTGATACAAAGTGATATAACTTTTCGAGAAATCGTATGTTATACACAATTTACAGCCTTGCGATAGATAGTTACGAACATACGCGACCCCCTCATCTTTCAACGAAAATACCTTTCGACCTATGCCTTAATTTATTTGTCAATGAGCGGACGTCAAAAGAAAGGATGACAAACAACGAAAATTTAACCTCCGTTTTACTATGTTATAGAAAACGTAATTCTGTTTTCCTATAGCATACGGCGCGAAAGCGAAAAGCGAAAATAGAGATTAAATTCTGTT